CTATTGCAAGTTTTATTTTTATCATGGTTCATAAATATTTGATTTTTAGTAAAATAAAAATATTCTAAGCTACTTTAGTTTTATTTTGTACACAATTCTATGAGAATGTAAATCATTTTAAAAAATGCGCCAGAAAAAATTTTTTACAATTCTAATCTAAATCTACATAGAATTAAATTAATTTTTGGTAGATAAATCATAAAAAAATTCAAATAAATCCTAATAAAACTGTAAACTAATTACAATTCTTGCAATGTAAACACCATTTTGTGATATTCGAATTTTTAATAACTTACATGGGGTTGGGTCTTCCGGTAAGATGACAGCTTGCGACTGGTTGAGCGCTTGCAAGATTAAAATATTTCGTTTAATTCTATTTAACAACTCATAGTCTAAAGTTTTGATTGAGATAACTGTTGGCGTGACATCCAAGCCAAGTATTAATACACCTAACAAGACGAGTAACATAATTCGGATGTTCTTCTTTTCTATTTTAATAACTTAGATTTAAACTTTAAAAATTTGATTGATGGAATGAAGCGATCTGCCAAGATGAAAACCCGTCCTGTGAGGACTTTCTATGAAAAAACTGATACCTAAACAGTTTGACATGGGCATCCGCAGAGAAGACAAATAGGATACTTGCTTCTCCATAGAATCGAGTAAAAAGTCCACAAATTATAATCGTAAAAGTGATTAGGACTTGTAATCTTAAACACTCGAGCTTAGGACGATTTAATGCAGTACTGTATTCTATAATCTACTCATGAAGAAATCCTCAAAAAATGAAATAAAAATTTATAGATGTAATTATTTGTCTCCAAGCTTTCTGCGGACCCTATGCCTATTTAGGTGAGCGATGTAAAACCCAGGAAATTATACACGGCCAGCCTATTGGTCAGGAGTGCACCCACGACCAACTACCAATCAACGGTCAGTGGTTTTATCCTCTAGGCCAGCGGTTCCCAATCTTTTTTCATTAGCGTACCCCCCCGTGGCATTTCCAACTTCCCAACCAGCAACGCATGCGAAAATCTTGCACTGCCTATTTGTAGAGAGTGTCGCTTCTTTGAATTTTATTTTGACTCGATTCTCGGTCCTCTGAGTACCTACAAGTCTTTTTTTTATGCGCGCATGATTTGGGCACCTAATACTCTGTGCCAAATTGCAACTTCTGACATGTACTCCTTCATACCTCTAAGCTGGTAACACAGAAGGCAATACGATTTTATAAACAATACATACTCTTGTCAATAAAAAATTAATAAAAATACTGAATAAATAATGAAAAAAATTACCGCTTATAGAGAAAATCTGGAGAAACTAGCTATGTCCTTTTCCTTCCTACAGTAACAATAAAAAGTACTTTTTATAAACAAAAAAAAATACTTTTTTCAAACAACACGTAGGGATATTGTTGAGAGGTAATAATAATAACGGTAACATACCCTACCACAAAAGTCCGTAGCATAATCACTAATCACGCATAATGGTATCCCCACTACTGTACCATTGACCGACTGCGCAACATTTATTGATCAACAGATCAATAAATGTAATTGTTGCATTGTACAATCGGCAGCATAAGTTTTTATTTCTATTTTTGCGTTTTGAAATGTATAATAAAGTTTGTGATTATTGCAAGAAACATTTTTTACCTAATAATTTTTTAATACTATTAGTTTGTGATACATAATATATTATTTTATCTGCCATAATAACTAACTTCTTTCTGTACCCCTAAATAACTTATCGTGTACCCCGGGATGGGAATCGCTGCTCTAGGCTATTAATGGGCTTTATAAAACTGATTATGCAAAACATATTATCATTCTTTCAAAAAATAGTTCGAAAAAACCGAAAATTGTTCAAATAATAAAATAGATCTTATATATTTCCAAGATAGAAGTGAAGTCTGTAACGTGACAAAACTTATCACAACAATGAAAGACCTATTTTATGAACAAGTTCGATGACACAAGTTTATTTTTAGATAAAAAATAATACTCTTAAAAATGAAATATATATTTATCTAAAAACAAGTAATTATATCTGGTATAAAATTTAATCTATATTATATCTGATACTATAAGAGCAATTTTACAAAAATATTATTTTATTTTGTTAGGAAATAATACGAATCAAAACGTCGACGCATATAAACTTATTTGTGCATTGTATATTGTACATAAAATTTAAAATGAAAAAAATTCACTTCTGTAAAGATTTAAAGTAAAAAAAAAATATATTGTTAGAAAAACGTATGAAATGTTCCTCACATAGAATGTATTTGATTTTCTAAATTTATAAAAAGGATTGAGACATTTATGCTATTCATATGCCATTCATTTATACTACTAAAATATTATACAGGGTTGTTAGAATTAAACTGACGGCACTCAGATATGCGTGGCGCCGGCTCTAGTGAACCGAATCAAATAAAACTTGGTAGACATGCAATGTAGATCAAGGGAAATAATTTACGGGAAAGATTACTTGAAATTTTCACCATGAGGAGAAAATGTGGCTCTGCAAGGATGACAATTATAAGGCAAGTGGACGAAATTTTATAAAATTAAAATTACGTTTTACATAATTACAGTATGTGCTCAATGTAGAATCCTTCTCTGTCGACCAAATGATGCAATCGTAAAACTGCGTTATGAACTGCAGCACGTAACATTCCAGGAACAATCTAGGAAACGTGTCGACTATACTGGCCTTCAACTCCGACACAAAGTGCACATGCCTCTGATAAACACTATTCTTCAAATAACCCATAGCCAGAAAGATACGTTTTCGACTGAACAGAGCGACATTTTCCCCTGGCGGTGAAAATTTCAACTAATTTTCCCCATAAATCTCTTTCCAATGATCTGCATTGCGTGTGTACCAAGATTCAATCAACTCGATTCAGTAGACGTCCACGCGTATCTGAGTACCGTCAGTTTAATTCTAACCACCTTGTATATCTTAAAAATATCTTATATGATAGATATAAGAATGACTAAGATGACAAACAAACAGTAAGCAGCAGCGCATCTTTTAGGAAATTTTACCTCGATGCTATTGATTATTAACATCTATAATAATAACCTACTATACATTCTTGTTTAAAACTACCTCTTAGAATATATTTAAATTAGGAAGTTTTTAAGCCTATTAGTCTCCTCATTAAATTCCAATAAAGCTTTTTTCATTCCATATATTTATTTCGGCCTCCGCGCCATTTTGTGTTTTCAGTATTTCACTTTCACAAATCGAATTCAAAGATTTTAGAAACCTTTCTCACAAACCCTTTCGTTGCATTCATTGCATATTTTACATTTGGAATATTATTTAATAACATTTAAAAAATGCAAATATTCATATAATACATACTTAATATCACCATGATTATCGGTTGTACCTATCCACTTTTCTTCTTTAGTTTCGCCATTTAATAAGGCGATGTTTCCATCATTCCAAGCAACCAAAATGTCTTGTCCGTTTGAATCTTTCTTTTCCATTTCAAGATAATGAAGTTTAGATTGTTTCTTCTCTGGTTGTTCCATTCTAAATGTATTCAAATCACATTATTATTATTATTATTACTACTACAACTTCTACTAATAATAAATTATCATTATAACATAAAAATAACTCTAATTTTGAGAGTTTTGTCAGGGATACGCAATATTTATCATCGAATGTTGACCCGTATTTCGAATTTGCAAGCCTCATTAAGAAAAATACACGAATTACTTTAAAATATTATTGAATTGATGTGCTAGTAAATAAATGTAAACAGGCTGATATATTTGAATGTATCATCGTGAAAGTACATTTATTTATAAATGATTGGTTTATTTATAATTCATTAAGGAAATGCTCAAACAACTTAGGAAGATGTACTATATGTATACCAAATCATCCAGCACTCCAACAGTTTTTTTAACTTTTCCCTTTAGAGGACTTCAATATAGGCTCCATTTGTGACGCGAACAACATCCAACCGATGTGTTTCACAACATTTCAGGAGTAACTGGATAGTTTCCGTAATTTGTCGCTTAGTTCACCAATGTCACTCTCTTTAGAAGACTTTCCAACTTAGGAAGATGTACTATAGGCCTATATCAAATCATACAGCAGCTCCAACAGTTTTTTACCTGTTCCTTAATTAAACAAGTTTGTTTTGCACTTATATCATCATTCGGGGATGGATGAGCCATCGGGAAATGGGGAAATTTCCAGAGGCACCAATAGAACTTATCCACTTCCCTTTATATTCATAGGCACCGGCGTCAGTCCATATACTTCTCGCGCTGTTTGAATAAGTCCCATCTGCCCAGTATCATTACAGTATATCGCGGCCTTATGGCGATCAAAATGTCTGGATAGGGACGTGTGTACCTGTGTCTCTAGCCCGGTCTTGGCTATAAGTACGGAGAGGAAGGTAAAGGACCTAGTATGGTCCTTTTAGGTGCCACTCGACTATTGCACCTGTCCTTGTGGATGGTGGCTGATAAGCATCCACCCCGGTATTGAAGGAGTTTAATGTAAATTATATAAATTATATTTAAGTTTTTATTTGTTTAAATAAATTACATGAAAAATGAGCGAGACTGATCTACAGAAGCTTCAAACTAATAACAGATTATTCGTGTTTAAACTTCTTGTCTTTTACTGTAAATGGTTATTTGTAATTGTAAGCTCAGTCACTATCCAAAGCGTTAGGTGCCTAATTATAAGGAATGTCAATTACGATGATTTTAAATTTTAGGAGATAACTTTTATTAAGAAGAGGATGATGATTTTTATCTATTTTAATGATTTGCAATGTGTATATATATAAAGAAGAATTTTAGAAATTTTATGAATGTTAAAATCGGAAACGAATATGTCAAAAAACTACTTTGTAATTGTAATACTGATGGAATAATCTAAATAGGAATTCCATTTAAAGATGTATTTTAATTTAAAGTTGATCTGTTTTTATTGCGTCCTTTTGTAAAATTATCTAAATATATAAAATTACTTGTCCTGACTGACTGACTCACTGATTCATCATCGCCCAGAGCAAACCGCTGAACCTAAAGAGGTGAAATTTGGTACACAGTTAGGGTACGTCATAAAAACGCACACTAAGAAGGGATTTTTCGCGGGGAGAGAGAGAGAATTAAGGCTTAACCGAAAGAACGGCTTCTACCGTACTATTTTAGATGCGATTTTTTGTTTTCAACTACGTTTAGTTTTCATTGAGTACTTAGGTGTATTAAATTAATAACATTTCAGACATTGTTATAAATATTTTTATCTATTTCGATTTTAAAAATGTTCGAACCGTTTTAAATTCGAATTTGTTATTGCATATTGGTTCGATTATAGAATAATTGTAAACGTTCCAGAAAATTGATCAAATTGAAAACAGTTTGTTTGATTCTCAGCAATTCTCNATACACATTAACATATGTAAAGAAAAACTCTCAAATTTGATTTTTTAGCATTTTTTTGATGTTTAAAAAAATGCTAAAAAATCAAATTTGAGAGTTTCAAAATTATATTAAATAGAGTCTCGAGTCCAAAATTATAAAAATCTTTGGATCATTTTTGACTGATTGCCATACTTTTCCTCTGCTATAAAAGCTGCTAGAAAATAATGAAATAGACACAGTTTAATAAAAGTGCTCAGCAAATAAACACAAAAATGAAACACCTTAGTTTGTTGCTAAGAAAAATATAATTGAAAACCAAACGTTTTCAGCCCGATTAACAGGCCATCATCAGGTCAAAAAACGAAAATGGAACAGATACGTTCCATGTATAGAATACAAATATTTAAATCAAAATTTAGAACAAAAATGTTTAGAAATATACAAGAGAAACGGAAGAACATATAAAATAAAAAATATCATAAATCTTCCAATAAACTAATTCTAGCCCGAGTTTTTAGTGAACTTTTTAACCATTTAAACAAAATTTATATCTCCATTTTTTGTCCTTTTTGAGCTGGGAAATTATCAATCAGTTCGTTGCAATCAACCTTATTTGAAATGTCATTCTCGATGTATAATATTACCAAGTTACATATGTAGAGTACATACAGAATAAAATTCACAATGTGTGTGGGGAAGATGCCTCAAACATGTCAAATGTGATTTAAAAAGTTCCGTTCGGTAAATTTTGAACAAAAGGATACAGAACGTACGAAGCGTCCAAATGCTGTCGCAAAGAAAAATTGTAGGAAAAAATTGCTAAAAATCGACGAACAACACACAAAATATATAAGCAAACACATCAAAAATAAAGCGAAAAAGCACTGAAATCATACGAGCGTAACGCAAGAGCGAGGAGAGACGACTTGGGAGCACATCAGATTACATTTAGCTTCGAGTGCAGTTTTTCCATTGCACGCGCAGTTCTAACTTTGAAGCATCGTTCGAACTGCTAAACGAATTTTTGTCGAATTTAGAGTTCGAACTATAAAGCATTCGAAGCTAGAGTCGATTGAAGCATATATTTGCAATGTGTAAAAGTCGTACTAAAACTGATGGTGAGAATAAACGGATATAAAGAGTTTACCTTAGAAAAACTTTCGAAACACACTACATCTTAACAACCAAAATAATTCAACTTTTATTAATTAATTATGGAAAAGTGATTTAAATTTAACTATTTTCAAGAAAAAAATTCATTACAGTAAGACACAAAAGNTTAATTTAAGATTTTAGATAATTTAAACTAAAACCAATTAAAAATAAATATAAAGTAATAAAATATTAAATTATATTTAAGTTACACGTTAAAAATGCTTAATTGTACTTACTTCAATATTCTCTCAAAATCTGACGAGTTCTGAGACAGTTCTTTTAAAGCTATACTTCTTAACTTTTCAGCAGATATTGACCATAAATTCCCTAAAAATAATGAAAAAATTTAAATACAAAAATAAATTTGAAATTTTTTAAATTGTAAAACTTACCGAATCCATCATCATTTACGCAATAAAAAAGGATATCAGTTTGCTTCTTATTTCTTTTCCACAACTGTAATTTATCAATTGGTAATGAGCAATGTTGAATGACGATATGAGTATCCATTTTTCCATTTCGGCCCGATAAAATTGCCATTGATACTTCGATCAGATTATTTTTTAATGTTTCAGTAGAATTAAGAGATAATGCCACAACTAAATCTGAGGTTCCATCGTTGTTGTAATCAGGAATAACGACGGGAAGAGATGTAATCTCAACGGGTAATTCGTAATTTTGGTAAAAATACCAGAATTCTTCACCTACGAATAATTAAAAGCATCTTATTGCATCTACATTTAATAACGAAAATAATTTTACAAATTAAGNGTTTAATGATAATGATAAGTTTAAAAAAATTATTCCTAAAAACTAATTTACAAGTTAGTTTAAAATAAAACTAAGGCTGGATAAAACCACTAAACACTGGTAGTTAGTTGGTCGTGGGTTCACACCTCGTCAACGGAATGGCCAGATGGAGTTCTTCGGGTTTTCTTCACGTTTGTGACATCTAAATAGGAGCCGAAACTGGCTCCTATTTAGTGTCACAAACTATTTAGAGTGTAGTTACTGGTTCTTAAGAGATCATACCGAGTGGCATTCTCCTCGGCAGATCACCCATGTGTCGCGTTACCGTATATAAACTAATTAAAAATAAAATCTCCTAATTATCAAACTTAAATACTAGACAATTTGATAACCTATTTTCAAATTACCAAAAATAGTTTTCGTCACAATAAAAATTTGATTTGTTTATTTTCATAATGAAGGCATAAGTTAAAATAATAAATATATTGAAAAAAATTAAATATTTTTGTGGGCTGATGTTAATAATAAACTAATAATAAATATAAATTAAAACAAATTTTAAAAACATATATTGAAACTGTACTCGTAGTGTATATGCAATAATGACATTAAATAGGAGACATGATTGAACTTTTTAACTAGAAAAATATAAGTATTATATCAATTATCAAGACAGTTATCTATATTGGCATTTAAAATTATTTATATAATAAGCATTAAAACAAGTTACGAATTTGACGAGACAAAAGCGATTTTAAAATTAAACTGTGAGGTGCATAATTATTATCTATTAATGGAATGTAATAGATGAAAGCTGAATAATTTGCGATAAAATAAAATTTCTAAGACTACAGATTAAGATTTAAATACCATTTAATGGATCTAATATTTGAATACATTCAAATTACATATTTAGATATTCCTTCTAAGATCATCCAAAGTTAAATATTAATTTTGAAGGTTAAAATATTGATATATACATAATCATTCAAAAATTGCGGCTTACTGTAATTTTGTGAAAATCAGTTTTATCCACCAAAAAGCGCACACAGGTCCTAATTATTTCTGCAGGATCACTAATCAATTAATGAACATTTTTTATTGATTATTTTTCTCCAATTATTATTATTATTCCTTGTTTTAAGCAGTAAATTTCAGAATAGGCCTACTAGGAAATTATCCAATTTATGGGTTATTTCTAGGAAATTAGGCCATTCATTTTAAACAGTATCTGTATAAAACAGAACCGATTAATTAAATTAAAACGCTTATTTAGTATAAGTACTTTTAATTTTCACAACAGTTAATTTGCTTAGAACACTAACTTATTACAATCTGAATAATGATCAACGTTTCAAAGTAATTTAAACTATTTTCTGAACTATAGTAAATACGAAGCGTATTCTTGCCAGTTGAGAAGCAATGACATCTAATAAGTAGGTCATTAACACTACGATATAGAAGTATATAAATGTCTATAAACTTTTATTTGGATTCATTACTACTTTTATGAATACAATTCATAAATTCAAATAAATTTTATTTAAAAAAATTTTTACATTTAACATTATAAATATAATCACGTTGCTAAATGTTTACATTTAAAAACAATCACAGACATTTATAATTAGTAAAATAATAAGCTATCATAAAAATAGTTTTAACTTTTCATTTATTTTCTAATTCCATTACTGGACTTGGGAAAGCTTAAAATTATTAAATTTATTACAAGTAGAAGATAACTTTAGGAACCGTTATTGACAACATAAGATTGAGAATGCTATACAGTCTAGTAGCCAGGAATAAGTCATTGAGGGCTAAAGAGGCAAACTGAGAAAATTATAATTGGTATTTTGCTTTGTTTCAGTCAGCACTAGGCCTATAACTACAGTTCAAATGTAAAAATAAGTAACGGTAGCCTAAGTTTATGTGATGAAAGTGAAAGCATATTATATATACTGCATATGGTCACTATTAAGCCGAGGGCTTAGCCACCTCATATCTTCCATAGCTAAGAGTCTGAGTCTATATAAAATGAAAGAAAAATTGTAAAGAAAATTTATAGAACAAATATTTATCAATGTGTAATCACCTAGTAACCGTTAACCTCAATTCAGAATAAAATTTCAAACATCATATCATTCAGTTACGCTTGAAATAAAATTAGCCTTTCTAATAACATTGAATGATTTCGAAATTTACTTTCTATTTCTATATTTATAAATAGCTCAAGTTCCATTTTATCTGTTTAAACGTTAAAAAAAATTGTCTTATATATTCTAAATAATTAGTAAAACGGATTTTAAAAAATTACAAAAGTAAAAGTCATTCGTTTACTGTAATGTAATCTTTTTCAATTCATGCCTGAGTCAATTTTAGTACCTCTACCAGTTCAAGGGAGAGACGCTCAAGTAATGGCGCCTGAAATACATGTAAATTAACTTTCTTGCACTTAAAAATAATAAGAAAAATAAATAAAATATTAAAACGTTATGCGAAAATTCCGAAATTAAAAATTTATTTATTATGTTAACTATATAAAATATATAAGTTAATATAGTTAAATAAAACATTTGATTATCTACAGAATTTATTATGATCATTTTAACATTGTAGATTATATCTAATTTATATATTTTTTTTGCTTGTGTAAATTCATAAAACTAATTATGAAAGTAACTTAAATCGAAACAGGTTTTATGTCTATCAGTTATTTATAGATAACTTTGAATGCTAAAAATTTTACGAGACATTTATGACATAACATTTAAAAATATCGAAGGGATAAAGCTACTTGCAATAACACAAACAGAATAACAGTAGACGTATTCTATAATTATATCATTACACAGAAAGCAAACATCATCTGTACACAATTTTAGCAGCAAGTGATTCTTAGATTGATTTTAACCGAACGTTAATAACGAAAAGTGTAGTACTTACTACTTGTTTACGGATAACAGGAAATTAAGAAATTGTTTCGTTGATGTTTGGAAGCGGGTAAGTTTTCAATGTGGCGTGTTGCAGCATTTCCGACAATACTGAGTCGTTTGCGCATTAGCACCTTCGCTTCGGCTTTGTGTTTGACTTGTAGTACTACTTTTCACACTCCGTTTCGAATATTAGATTGAAGTTATTTTTGAATAATCGAGAATTATTCAAAACTTATTTTGATATTACTTTTGAATATTTATATATTTGAGAGATATAAATAAATTATTTTTCTCTCTGTTATATTCCAACTAGCAAATGAACTCGGCGTTGCTCGGCAAAAAGTAACGATACATAAAATTAAGATTATTAGATTATAGGCCGATCTTTCCTATTTTCACCAGGTGCAAGAATTAGGTTCACCATCTTTCGAGACTAATTACAAAATTTTTAGATGGGTATAAAAGTATGTTCGATTTCCCGCAAAATCCGTATCTAAAATAGTACAGTAAAATTCGAATTTAGGGTAATACTTAATACCCCTCTCTCTCTCCCCTGCGGAGAGAAAATTTTAGAAAATCCCTTCTTAGTGTACATTTTCATGACGTGCTTACTGTGTACCAAATTTCAAATTTCAACTCTTAATCGTTTGGGCTCTGTGCTTATTATTATTATTATCATTATCAACCCATCTCAATTATAAGATAATAATAACAGCATAATAATCTATCCTCTCATATATCTATCCCTTTGTACAGTACAGAATCACTTTCTTTGTAATATACAACTCAACTGGAGAAGAATCTTCTATATTTTAATTATATTTATTTATTTATTATAATATTTACTAAATAAAAATATTTTAAAGCAGTGACATAAAAACTTAATAATACAAAAACCAAAAATAAAAATTTCCAGTGAGTAAGAAAAGGAAAAATATATTTGATGATATAATATAATTCAATATTAAATAATATTCATAACGGTATTTATACAAATAAGCATTAATGTATGGTTACACTTATGTACATTCTCAAGCCATATGTTTTCTGAAAATTATCAAGAATTATCGCAAAAAATAATAGTTCAATTTTTTCTAATCTTTTATTTTTAAAATTAAATTTTAGCTGACTGTATTTAAAATATATATAAATAAAATTTACCGAAGCTACAAAGTTGTCTTTAATTTGAATGAACTTTATTGTAAATTATAGTATTGTATTGGCATAATCGCCAGAAGTTTATCCATTTTGCATTTTATTGCGGAGGAGTAGCCTCAAAAAAAGATAGTGTGAGACTCAGCATTGTTTACTTAACTACAGCCTGACCTAAATCTTTAACGATACCATTTTATCGTTGAATTAAATATCAAATTTCACACCTGGGAGTTAATCACTTAGCAAGTTCTCAGTGGCTAAAGGATGCTTTCACATAACCTTCCGACCTATTGTTGCAAGTTTGTCAAGTGAATATAGCAACAGACCGATTTTCGGGGCAGTCGCAGCCGTTCCTCCGATGGTTACAGTCGTCAGCTCCCACGCATCACGTTCGTGTTATGCTTCCTATTTGGATTAACTTCAAATGGACTTATTACGTGCCTCCTATGTGAATTATCTGCATCGCCAAATGGACTTATTAAATGCCTAATTTAACGTCGGATTAACTATAACTTTGACTAACGTCGTTGCCAGAACCAGAACTTAGATTAAGTCGAGAACCTTAAGATCCATTTAAGAATCAATCAAACTCCACCAGGTATTTATCGCCACGCGAACTATTGTAAACTCTCTCTCTCGAGAACGCTCATTTAAACTTTACTATCGAAACTATCGACATATTGTATTTCCCATCGTTACCCATTAATTAAACAGTTGTTATGATAGCTATCTAGTCTCTGAAGGAATCACTTCCGGTGCGCTGTCTTTCTCTCACTCCATCCCGAATCAGATCGCTCAGTAAAACTCGGCCGCTCGCGTGACCTATTTCAAAATCGCCACGGCTTCGGGTCAAGCAAGATCCGGTGGTGTCTATCCTGACAAGGCATCGAGGAGGTGCCGACTCTCCAGTCACATTAATCTCCGTAACTGAAAATTGTTTTTGAATGTCACTGGTGTTTATAACGACGAAACACGAAGACAATTTTGTAACGTCGGTAAATTTTATTTATATATATCTTATATTTTTAGTTTGGATGTGAATGTTAAGTTTTTAAAAAATGTTTTATGGTGTAAAAATGTGTTAATAAAAGTTACATTATAAAAATAAACTATACTACTCCTAAATACTATTTTACATAGATAACATATAGATATACAGAATTTTAAGTTCCATCTTACCTTAAAAATAATTTGGTTAAATTATAGAG